CCTTCCCTGATTGGCTTGTTTCGCTTAGGATAATACTCTCCAGGTCCTTCCATGCCATCTCAAAGGATAAGAGATCTTTTTTTCTTAAGGCTGCATAGAATTCCATTGTGTATGTACCACAGCTCTTTTATCCACTCATCTATTGATGGACACTTGGGCTGTTTCCAGACCTTAGCTATTGTAAATAGTGCTGCTATGAACATAGGGGTACATATATTCTTTCTGATTGGTGTTTCAGGCTTCTTAGGATATACAGTAGTCCTAGAAGTGGGATCACTGGGTCAAATAGCAGTTCAATTTTTAACTTTTTGAGGTAACACCATAGTTTTCCATAGTGGCTGCACCAGTCTGCATTCCCACCAGCAGTGTACTAGAGTCCCCTTTTCTCCACACCCTCGCCAGCACTTGTTGTTTCATTTGTTGATGGCAGCCATTCAGGTGTGAGGTGACACCTCATTGTTGTTTTAATTTGCATCTCTCTGATTAGTGACATTGAGCATTTTTTCATTATGTCTCTTGGCCATTTGTTTGTCCTATTTGGACGGGTGTCTCTTTAGGTCCTCTGCCCATTTTTTAATTGGGTTCTTTGACTTCCTTTTGTTGAGTACTCTATATATTTTTGAAAGTAACCTCTTATCTGATATATTGTTGGCAATTATGCTCTCCCATATAGTTAGTTCCCTTTCCATTTTCATGCTTTTTTTGCTGTGCAAAAGCTTTTTAGTTTGATGTAGTCCCATGTGTTCAGTTTTTCCTTTCTCTTCCCTTAGGTGTTGTATCTTAAAATTCTGCTGCATGTGATGTCTGAAATTTTGTTGCCTACATTTTCTTCTAGGATTTTTATGGATTCATGAGTCACATTTAAGTCTTTTTATCCATTTTGAGTTTATTCTTGTATATGGTGTAAGTTGGTGGTCTGGCTTCATTTTTTTGCATGTAGCTGTCCAATTTTCCCAACACCATTTATTTATTTATTTATTTGGTACATGCCCCTAGCCTCTAGGGCCTAGCAGAAACTGAACCCGGGACTCCCTGGTCCACAGGCCGATGCTTCAACCACTGAGCCAAACCGGCCAGGGCCCAACACCATTTATTGAAGAGGCTGTCTTTACTCCACTGTATGCTCTTGCCACCTTTATCAAATATTGAGCATTATGACTTGGGTCAATTTCTGGGTTCTCTGTTCTATTCTATTGCTCTGTATGCCTGTTTTTGTGCCAGTTCCAGGCTGTTTTGATTACTATAGCTTTGTAGTATAATCTGATATCCGGTATTGTGATCTCTCCTACTTTGTTCTTTTTCAAGACTGCTGTGCCTATTCGGAGAATATTTGGGTTTTTAAACCTAGTCCTAATCAGTGACATACAATGAGTTTTAGTTTTCTAGTATGTAAGACTAAGATACTAACTTCCAGGGATATTATAAACATTATAAAAAATAATGCCTACCAAATTTTAAATGTTAGCCTATTCCAAATACTTTCAATATTTCTGTAGGAATGTGTTCAGTGTGGAAACATCGATAACAAAAATAAACAGTAATACAAATCAGGATTCATGGCCAAACATAACTATTTATTTATTTCTGTAATAAACATTCAGTTTCTTCTTTAAAAAAACCTAGAATTTAAATATTTCTTCCCATCCCATCACATACAAGTCTGTGTACATTATTTACATCTCTCAATTAAAACATATTACAGATTTTCTGACATCCAGTATCCTCTTTTAAAATAAAAATGATAAAGCAGTTAAACTTTGATCAATAATAACTACAATTTGGGTAATCTTGACACAGTTTACAATACAGTGCCCATGTTACATTCCATATTTTGGACCATTTTTTCCCCTTCCAACTACTTTAATAGAGACATTTTCGATCTCCAATAGAGCAGAATCCCTATCTTTACATATTCTCCGCAATACTTGTACAGTGTGAATGCTGCCCTTGTGCTTCCATTCTATGGCACTAGCAGTATTCTTCTGCTTTTGTCCCCATAAATAATTTCTATTTGGACTTTTAAGTGTTCTCATGTATACTGCATTCTCTCTCAACCTAGATTTCATGACACTGTTTCTATAGAATTTTAAGTAATAATGTATAAGAAAAGTTCAACTAGAACAAAAGTTAAGTGTTCTCCCATAAGATTAGTGCCCTCAGCACCTAGTTATGCATGTACAAAAATAACAAATATAATTTAGTGGCTTTAAAAAATGATTTCCCCTAAAAATAGTTATCTCAGAAGAACAATTTAAGGAGAAAGTGTTCTTAAAGTGAAAATGTACTAATCTATTTTACAACCTGCACAATTAAGTATTTCAGAAACAAAAAGGAAAACGTGCAAACCAGTAAGAAACACCCACACATAAAAATACATAAAAGAGAAATTAAATATTAACAAAAATGTTTGATTATATTACTAATGAGCTCAGCTTCAGTGGCATATTTTTAAAAAGCTGTCAACCAAAAAAACAATAAACAAAAAACAAAAATGCCTATGTAAGTAGCATCTTTCAACACTTCAGGTGAAACCTATGTATTGACAGTAAATACCTCAGAAGCACTAACAATGAGGACCTGCACAAATGGTCTGTTTTGTTTTCCAAGTGGGTGTGTTTTGGAGGGATGGGAGGTATAAAAAGTCAATAGCAGTAAGGAAGTAATTTACCTCCAAGGAGGAGGGGATGACGGCTGGAAAAGGCCAGTGGTTTCACTATCTTTGAGAACTGTAATCCAAAGCTATCTATGTATAGTATTATATGTAGAAAAAAAATTTTGCATCACACTAACAAAATTAAGAGTACTCAATATTTTAATCCGTATTTTCTCTCTTTTGTCAAAATGTATGTATCAGTTCAGCTATAAGTAGCGTACATGGAGCACAGTTTTATACCTTCAAAATGAATGCTTCCATATGATTAGCTCATTAGGAAAGCCCTAAAAATTCAAACTGTCTGCAGTCAGAATTGTTATCATATCTTAAAATTAAACTTTTCCATTAAATCTTGAGATAGTTTTACCTCTAAATACTTATCTCATATATCATTAAACTGACAGCTGAACAACAATAATTCCTATGGGGAATCCTAACATTATGACAAAACTCTAATACTGAAATTATTTTAGAAATGGTCCTTAAAATATAAATCTAGAATAGCATTTCTAAGAATTGATATATTATTTAATATCCCAGATAAGTTTCAAAATAAGTAATGGTATGCAGACCCATTTTCAAATTACAAATAGACTTCTGGTCCCATATCTTTGAAAAAGACATTCACAACTTTAAAGTTATAAGTGATACATGAAATGGTTATGCAATTTTAAATATTTTATCTGTGATATGTAGGCTTAAAAGTCAGCATAATTAATATATAAAATTTATTCCAATTTCTTTGTAAAATGATCTCCAGTCTTTAAATTCAAATCGTTCATCTGAGTGAAAATGTCTTTTTAAAAAGGGATGGAGGTAAAGGCTGTTGTTTCTTTAAGCTACTTCTATCTTAAATATTGGATCCATTTTTTTTTCTTACTATCCCTTCAATCAAAACTATTTTACAGTAGTCAAGATTGAATTCAAGAGTTATCAGGGAAAGGAACAAAAAATAGAAAACAAGATAAAGACTTTGATTTTTTTATTATTATATTTAACTGTAAGATAATTAAACTTAATTTTGAAAATTAAAATCTAAACATCAAAGTAGTGACATCAAGAAACAATTCCTCTATTAAATGATGCTAACTATGCTCAAAATACTCTCTTTTGCAAATTCAGAACCTATGGCACATTCTTTTGAACTTCCTTAATTGTTTAATTCTAAGAAAACAGCAAAGCAGAGCTGGTTTGGTGAATGAGAGAGGTCACATTAAGTTGCCAAAAAGAGTTTTTTGGTGCAACTAAAAATGATGAGATAGATTCTCTTGCATAGTCATACACTGATTCTCCAGGCTGCTTTGAAAGCATTCCAAAAACTTTACACCTTTTAGCATAGCTGGAATAAGTAGTGCTTCCAAAGGAACCATCCTGAAGATCAACTCTCACTTGGATGTTTAAGGTATAACATACTTATTTTAAAACAAAGTCCTACAATTTAGTAATTACATCTCACATATTTTACCATTTCAGTGGTTATCAAAACCTCTCTCAGAGAGGGTGTAGACAAAGGTATAAAAGAATCTGTCATTTCACTATTTTCCCATAAGCAAGGAAAATGCTAATACATAAAATGGAGTCTGGTGATTACATGTAAAATATAAATATCCACATCATCTGTACTTCCTGAATATAAGCAATTGTAGTGCTTTATCTTTCCTGATATAAGAGGCAGTAACTCAGTCTGAGATATAATATACACTAAACATGTCCTCTCCTACCAAATACATTTTATGCTGATCATTTAGAATTTATAAATGACAAAGGTAAAAAGTGATAGCAATTTAAAATCTTTCAATTTAAGGTGAACTCACCTCCAGAGCTTCTACCAGAGAACTAACAAATGCTTACTGTTTTAATACAGTTTAATGCAATGGGTTTTAGAGGAAACAGAATAATCAAGTCAGCAAATGAAAGCCAATAGCCCAATCAAGATTTTCACACTTTCTGTTATTAAGTTCTCTCTAATACCATTACTCCATCATTCAAAATAACCCCCAAAACTTGCTTTATATCAACATTTAACCAAAGCACTGTGAAAATAATACTATGTTCAAACTTACTACTCTGTATTTTATGCTTTTATCAGCCAAGAAAACCAACTTCTGTTTTACATTTCCATATAAAGAACAGGGAAAATCTTTATTTTGGTGATTTATTTATAAATTTAATAAAGAGACCTGGAAAGAATCCAATAGACATGTGTAAGCAAGCTCTGCTGCAAAGCCAAGATTTGACACTTACATTGATTTTTTTTAAATTGTTTGTTTTTTTTTGAGAGAGAGAGATCAAAACATCGGTCAGCTGTCTCCTGCACAGCCCCCTATTGGGGATTGAGCCCAAAACCGGGCATGTGCCTGACCAGGAATGGAACCAGGACCTGTCCACTGGACGACGCTCAATCCACTGAGCCACACTGGCTGGGCTTGATACTTATTTTAAAAAGGGCATCTCACTAATGCTAATGAGAACCAACCGAATCAAAGCAATTTTTTATTAAATCAGTTATTTCTCACATGCTCTGATGAATGTTTCCCTACTTACAGCCATGTAACACCATGTACAATGGCAGGCCCCTCCCTGGAAGAACTTCTTTACTTTATTACCATATATACACATACTTAACTCCTTACTTCCCAATAACTCTGTTTAAAGGAATACTCAGAAGCAGGCACCTGAGATTCTGGCACAGTGACGACAAACTCCTATATACACACAGTGGGAAAGTAGGTCCTACTACTAAACATTAATTTATAGAAACATTTTCCACTTGTACAGTGTACTACTGTATAAGGCTTAAAAGAGCAAGAACAATATTTCACTAGTCTCTCTACACTTGGCTATTGCAACCCCTTTGTTATGAAGACAAATGCAGTATGGAAGATTACTTGAGTAATCAATCATGTGCTTCATTTTCCTAAACAGGACCCAAATCAACGGACACCGAATTTTATATCTAAATCAACCCATAATGGCTGATATTACATATTTGGATATTAAAAAGATTTGTTTTATGGAAATCAGCTAATTCTCACTGAAGTGTATAACTAAGCATTACTAATGAATGTCCAATATATTTATCTCTGCCAGGCTCTCCTGTTACTTCTACTGTTGATCTGTGGTACTAGGAGAATGATTGCTATAAATGAAATGGAGAGAAAGGAAGTTCCTAGTGATCATAATTGTAATGGCATTAAACTGTATCACTGCTCTACTTGTTAATAGCAAAAACAAATCAATTTCATTTTAGACTCTTTTCTAAGTATTTTTAGTCTATACAATTTCAGAGTAAGATTTCTATTCTACAAGAAAAAGGGTATATATTTCTTACTGAAGAAAGAATATGTATTTCTAACTGAAGGAACAGATTTACCAGAAATGACAAAATTAAAATGAAGTCTGGAAAGAATATATCTCAAGAATAACACTGAAGTACAAATGTTAATATCTATTTTAAAAACTAATTTTCAGAACTTATTATGGGAGTAATTTACTATAAAGTCAGGGAAAATAAAATATAAAAGTTAATAACCTCTGAATTAGCACTTCCATTGTTTGACATCACTGCAAAGAAAAATACTTCCTTTCACAGTGAAAAATCAGAAGTCAGAATGCTTAAAATTGGACCTCTAATACGTAAAGAATGTATTGTATCACTAAAAATGACAGGCAAACACCAGCTCCATTCACTGAATGGAAATGCTGGAAAGTGGTCAATTTCCCCAAATAGTCCTTGAATTCTATATTTAACATCTATACCTAAAATAATAATTTATTTTTAACTTCTCATGGAAGTTGATTCCTAAAAAGAAGTCTCTAAGACTCTGCTTATAAGAAATTAACTAAAATCTTCATGCCATTCTATTCAAGGGTTTTAAGACAGGACCTTCTTGAACTTGACTCCCCATACTTAATTCCATCTTGACTCCCCATACTTAATTCCATCCCTAACTCCCCATACAAACTAACCCCCACAACAAAACACACACTCCTATCACCGCTTCTTCAATGTAGAAGGGGATTCTGCAGACTTATGGCTCATTTGGCAATTGCTAAGAAACCTCACAGTTCAGCGTCACCTCTGAAGTTGGCAAACCTGTATATAACCTGAATATTCACACCTACAGTGCAGTTAACATGTAGAAAGAAGCCAAAATGCAATAGATATTGCATTTCAACATCCTCAAGTTTCAATATCACAGATATTAAGAGATGGAAAAATACCTGCTTGTAGAACTTTAAGCATCTGTTGAACAGAATTACCATGTATGTGAAAAATAATTAAGAAATACTAATTTTTATGTTCTACATGCACACCTTTACAAATTGTGTTTCTTCAATTAGTAAAAGTTGGAGATCATCAATTTAGGTACACTATGGCTTTTATCATAGATATTTTAAAACATGCATCAGTAAGTGCCCTGGGTAGTAATCCTAATATTGTTTCAAGCCCTGTTTGGTTCTATGTGCTTTGCACCTCAGAAGTGAGCCTGCCAAGGCACTTAAAAACATAAGTCTTATAGGGACTTCAAAAATTAGCCACAATTTACACAACACAGAACCCCATCCATCAGCAGTCCAATTAATAAGCATTTTCTTTCAACACACAATATTATCAAGAATTCTACAAGTAACCAAAACCAAGTTAAAATATATTACCATGTGCCACTAAGACAAAATTTATGCCTATCAAATGTATAGAGAATGGTTGTTGGCTTCTTCTAGCAATAGAATATGGTTTCATTTATTCAGAATAAAGAAAAAAGAACCCAAACAAGCCCCCCAAACCTAAGACAAAAACAACCAAGATAAAAATAAAATACAACAAAATCCAAACACATTTCACACAACTTCATGAGGAACAATTTGCACAGTTCTGCATCCCTTATCTGTCCTTTGAGGTGAGTTTTTCAATCAGTTCTTGGAGTGGTGCAAGTTCTCTTCTATCAACCAGGTTGAATTCCTATGCATGATAAAGAAAGGTAGAAGAAATAGAAAAAAACTTATTATTTATATCTCACTCAAAAGCAGATTTCCATTAATACTTGTTGGAAATTAGCTTTAAAGTAAATAAAAGTCAAATCTTTTTTTTTAAAGTTTCTATTTCCCTTTCTGTCTCAGGCAAATCACTTAACCACGTTGGATATTGTTTTACAGATGTAATAATATTAGGATAAGTCCTACTACCTCACAAAATTATTGTGGAACTAAATGTGATACTGTAAGTTAACCACTTCAAGTAATCCCGGCACAAAGTAACACTCAATAAATGGGAATTGCTACTCTCTGTAAAAAGAAATAATGTGGGCACCATTTAGATATAGTCAACCAAGTAGGGACCAAAATATCTAGCATCTCAAGCAAATTTCTATATAAACTAACATATTGGCAAAAATAAAATAAAATAAAATAAAATAACATATTGGCAAGCTATCATGAGATATGTCCTTCTGAAATTCAAGTCTGAGTAGATTTCCCCTGAACTATAATAAATAGAGGCTGTCTATACTTCTGGTCTTGTGCCATGGTAGGGCATTCTGAACTCCCAATTTCATTCATTTACTAACATCCATTGTGTGCCAAGCACTGTAGTAAGTACTGAGGAGAAGCATTAGGAGGCATTTAATAGCAAGTCTACCACTAAGATTTGTGGGGTCTCGACCAAGAAAACAAATGGATATATACTGTATGACTAAATTATTAAATTTTGCATTAAGCTAATATATGCCTTCATAGTGACCACAAGAGCAGAATTCTGCACTGGAAAGTAGTGACATGAAAAGAGCCAGTCCCTGACCCTCAGCAAACCTTGCTGATCTCTCAACCCCCAGCTCCATCCTGCTCTTGAAGGGGCATCACATGCATGCATGTGGACACCATGTCTAGCTTATACAGGCAATGCCACACACCTTCACCAAACAGCTGCCATCTGGTACCCCTTAGGTCTAAGTATACATATCAGAGATATGACCTTCCCTCAAAAGAACAGATCCAAGGAAAAGATCCATGCAGACCCTGGAAATACAGGACCATGTGGGCAGGGAATTCTGAGGTAGAAGCATACACCAGAAGGGATCTAGTAGGTATGTTGTTGGCCTCGTGGATTCCTCACTCTGTGGGGAGGAGTACAACTGAAGATGGGCCAGAGCAGGACTTCCTAAATTGTGAGGCCAGAGCTTACTCAATCAAGAGCTGACACTGCATAATGGACCTACCTTTAAGAAGGGCATAGTGTCCTGAGATGTAAATAGGCTCAGATGCAATAAATGCCATGTATCTATCCCCTACTAATTTGCTAAGGAGTTGGGAGATATGGTATACTTTAAGATCACACAGGAAGGTGAAACTAACCTTTCTGGTGGGAGAGTATTCTCTCCTAAACCACTAAAACCTCAACTTCAGCAATCATGTTTGCCTAAACCAAAGTACAGATGCAAATTTTAGAATAACATTTTCTTTGTTTCTATGGGTATCTGTAGATGGAAAACCACAGTAAAGTAACTGCTCAGAACAACAGTTTAGGCATGTTACTGTCTCCTAAAATGAGTTTATATGGGTAAAATTGAGACACAAAATGTGTGCCTTCAATTCGAGTAGTATGTATAGAGGAAAAACAGACACATTTTTCTTCAGTGGAAATGGGTCATGGGGAAGGTATTTATAAGTATATGCCCAAAGATATAAAAAAACAGCACAGATCCAAGTCTTGGCCAACCATAAACTCCTCTCAATCTCCACCAAAGAAAAGCTGGTTAGCTTATCTTTTCCACTTGTTTTTCACTCCTGTCAGTTCTCAAATTGTTATAGCAGGGTGAGACTATCTTCACTCCTCTTAATCTAATCTCTAAACCTAGTTCTCTAAGAACTGAAAAGAGAAGGAAAGGAAGTCAACTAAGGAGGAAGATCAAAGACTAATGGACCTCCGGCAATAGCAACACTCTGTGAGACCGGTTTCCCTCTTTGCACATAATGGTCAGTGTCTAACTTAAAAACTATTTAGAATGCTTTAAAAAAAAAAAGATATGATATTCAAAGTCCATTTCCAGGACAGAGTTTGCTAAAAAGGTTCCAAAGTAGCCATAATTTGAGGGTTAAGAGGAGTGCTACAAAGTTTAAGATATCAAGTTCACCTACAGGTTCTTTATTAGCCCCTCCATATTAGCCTGTTAACTGAAACAAATGCAAGAAAGAATTCTCAGAGCCATCTTATTTGGATCTGCATGTCACTGCTTAGAGATGAATGGAATTCAGAAACAAAAGGCCAGTCCTCGTCACCATGGCACATATAGAAGAGGAAGAAGACTAGATAGGGCAAATTTTATCCTTACAGTAAGAATGCAGTATTCATCTCAGAACTCTGTAAATAACTGCTTTTACTGAGCAAAAAAGGCCTCCTAATCCAACTTACCTGGACAAAAAAGATAAAGTGCTTGAAAGATGTATTCAGATGCGCTTCCTCCTGAAGCTGGATTACAGGGTCGAAATGCTGATGATATATGTGAGCATAAACCCTAAAGAGACGTTTGAGTATAGTTTTTGCCACAGACATGAAATTCTTCGGGAATGGGACACCTAGTAAATAGAGAAACAACCCCATCTATTAACAAGAGACAGGAACAAGGCAATATGAGTTTGTCAGCAAATGGCAACATAAATTACCAAGGCAAAGCTGAAAGAAGTATTTATGAATTACTGCTTAATATACCCACTGTACTTTTCAGCAGTTCTCAACATATCATGAATGTAAATAAACTTCAAAGCTTCTATTGAATAAGTACTAGTCTTCAGTATAGCCCTTTAGGCCTCTGATACACCCAACATTTTACTAAAATAAAACAAATAAATACCTACGATGGTAATGGAGCTAAAACTCACACTCAGATCCTCAGATTTCGTAACATCATGTTTTAATACAAATTCTATATGCTAAACACAAAACATGCAGTAATCATTTTCATTTGTATTTAAAATGCTTGCGATATATTTTTAATTTTTTCTACAGGAATTATTTCATTGCTACTCCAGGTCTACATTCATCCTGAAAAATAGCTGCAATCTCTGCTCAATTAGGTCACTGTTATGAATTACAACACTTTTACAGTATTAAACAAATACAAAACTAGAATAATACAAAATTCCACATACTTTGTTACTCTTGCTAAATAATCTAGATTGGCAAAACACAAGCCAAACACTGGTACTACTAGTTTCAATATCAATATATTACCTACAGCTCATTTAAAAATATGATAGGGCACTCCCTGACCAGGTGGCTCAGTTAGTTGGAGCATCATCCCATACACAAAAAAGGTTGTGGGTTTGATTCCTGGTCAGGGCACACACCTAGGCTGCAGGTTCTAACTCCAGTTGGGGTGAGTTCAGAAAGCAACTGATCGATGTTTCTCTCTTACATTGATGTTTCTCTCCCTCCCTAAAATCAATAAAAACATCCTCGGCTACCCAGCTGGTGTGGCTGCGGCTGAGCGTTGACCCATGCACCGGGAGGTCACCAGTTCGATTCCCGGTCAGGGCACATGCCCAGATTGTGGGCCAGATCCCCAGTGGGGGTCATGCAGGAGGTGGCCAATCAATGTTCCCTCTCATCGATGTTTCTATCTCTCTCTCCCTCTTCCTTCCTCTAAAATTAATAAAGAAAAAAAATTTTTTTAAAAAGCATCCTCAGGTGAGGATTAAAAAAAACTACATACTGGTGACCCTTTGGTGCTAGGGCCAATGCTCTAACCACTGAACAAAACTGGCCAGGGCTTAATTTTTTATTATTGATTTTAGAAAGAGAGAAACATTGATTTATTGTTCCACTTATTTATGCATTTATTGGTTGTTTCCTGTATGTGCCCTGCCTGGGGTCACACGCAAAACCTTTCATATCGGCCTTTCATATTTGCTCTTAAAGATCAGCCTTTCGAGTAGAAATTGTTTACATCCAGACAATAAGATTTTTACTTTCTCAAACGTCTTATAACTGTGGTTTGTGAAAAAATTAAGAATTTGCTCTTTTAACAATAAATAACTTTTTTACTATATTTTATGCTTTTAATTTTTAGAGGATAGGTAGGTGTAGGAGACAGTAATGTAAATAATTGTTGTTATGGATTGTTTTAAACACATTATTGAATGCTTTTACTATTTTGGAGCATTTTAATGAAAGGTCTATTTTTCAAGGCTGCTTTATTTATAGACATCATAATGGTTTTGGATAAGTGCCCTTACCTTATCTTGTATTCCCCATAATATACAGGGTGGGGCAAAAGTAGGTTTACAGTTGTGAGTACATGAAACAGTTTATTCTTTTTTTCATTTTTTTTGTTATCCTCACCTGAGGACATTTTTCCATTTTTTGTTCAGATAGAGTGGGAGGGAGAGAGAGGAAGAGGAAGAGAGAGAGAGAGAGAGAGAGAGAGAGAGAGAGACATCGACGTGAAAGGGACATATCAAGTGGCTGCCGCCCGCACGACCAACCAGGGCCAGGGACAAACTGCAACCAAAGTATGCGTCCCTAGCGGGAACCGAACCTGGGTCACCAGTTCAATTCCCAGTCAAGGGCAGGTATCTGGATTGCAGGTTTGATCCCCGACCACGGTCAGGGCATATGCAGTAGGCAACCAATCGATGTATCTTTCTCACATTGATGTTTCTTTCTTCCTCTCTTTTTCTCTCTCCCTACCCCTCCCTTCCACTCTCTCTAAAAAAAAAAAAAGCAATGGAAAATATCTTTGGGTGAGGACTAACAAAAACAAACAACAAACAAAAACTACTACTAATAATAATAAAAGAACAAATATTAAACAGCAAAATTCACTCAGTTGGTAACAGGCCAACTCCTCAAATCTTGTTTTTCTTTCACCTAGCTTGATTTCAGTCTGTAAAATTCACATCATGAGTCATAAATTCAAACTCCCTCTTTGCCACAAATACAATGTAAAATTGGATATAAGTCATACACACTCCTTCCATGAACAAGAAATGAATATGACTGTTGCAGATGATATTGGCTGCCAACCCACTATCCAGTCTTTTTTTTCCATAACACAGGCCAGATTTTGTTACTGTTTGAAGTATGCCGATCTTCTCATTGTTTAAAATATAGGGAGGTTTATCTTAATAATCATGATAAATTGGTATGAAAAAGAAAAGATGCTTTTCAATATATAAGATTAGGAGGCAGGATCCGAAGGAGGGGTCTAGGGGAGAAAAAGGAGAAACATCTGCAACAAAAATAAATTAATCAATAAAATTTTTTTATTAGTATGGTAATCTAGTATGGTTTCTGGAACAGAGAGAAAATAAGATCTAGAAACATAAAAAAGTAGATAAATCATGACAGACTCCACTTATACAAATAATTATACCTATTTTTGAAGGAAATAATGTCTCATCATCCAACTGATCCTGAACCCAGGTCATCAAGTAATCAATATACTTTGGCGCAGAGCACTTAATAGGCTTCTTTATGTTTGTTCCATCTGCCCAGTGATATTCATATCTGTATTGGAAAGATAAAAAGCACACAGAATATTAGTATATACCTATATACAGTGTGTGCAGTTTTTCTTCTTTTTTTTTTTTTAGAGAGAGAGGAAAGGAGAGGGAGAGAAAAATAGAAACATGGATGAGAGAACACTGATTGGCCGCCTCCTGCATGCACCCCACTGGGGACTTGGCCCACAACCTGGGCATGTGCCCTGAACGGGAATTGAACCGGCGACCTCTTGGTGCATGGCTCAGTGCTCAATCACTGAGCCACACCAGCTGAGCTACAGTGTGTATATTTTTTATATTATACATGTATGTGTACTATGAATGTATACAGGACACGTTTTAAACAATTTATTCCTCCAAATGAAGATATTTTGCATTTGGCATTTACTTATTTATTTATTATTGATTTTAGAGAGAGGGAGAAACATTGGTTTGTTGTTCCATTTATTTATGCATTCATTGGTTAATTCTTGTATGTGCCCTGCCCAGGGATCGAATCCACAACCTCATGTATCAGGACAATGCCTAACCAGGGCTGTATTTGGCATTTAAATTTAACATTTCAAATGGCTACTGGACTAGTCTGCATTTATCATGACCCAAACTAAGTAGATCCCAGCAAACTCATTTTTTGTGTTTCTATGTTTTAATCTTATTATACAGCTTTCCTTCATATATACAATTTATATTTTAGAATCATGCATTGCCAGAGTAGAAAGCCTAGCTTACTTTCCACTTCTACGTTGACAATCTGTAATGTTTTTATGGTTGTTTTTCTTCCTTAAAAATATTTCTCCTTATGCAGTACAATTCTTTACAACCTAGGGCTTTAAATTTTGAGTTAAGGATAGAAGAAGGAAGGGAGGGAGCACGGGAAGAAAATAATTTTTCCTTTCTGTAGTATCTTTTTATCTTTTTCTTTATTGATTTTAGAGAAACAGTAAGGGAGAGGGAGAGAGAAACAGAAACATTGATTGGCCACCTCCTGTATGCCCCTCACTGGGAATTTAGTCCACAACCTTAGCACATGCCCTGACTGGGAATCGAATCAGCGACCTCTTGGTGCATGAGCTGATGCTCAACCACTGAGCCACACCAGTTGGGCTAGAGCAGTATTCTAAAGGGCAGTAATTCTCCCTAATTCACAGGAATGGGATATTGGTGTAATATCAGAAAAACTCCCAATAAAATACTAGTCAATTAAAAAGGGAAGAAAATGACAGATTTCAGGTGAAAAAACCTTGCAGACACTAGCATGATAAGGTAATCAGGGTTAACATCCCCATGATGGTGTGGTCAACATTGTGTGCCTCCTGATATGATCCAGTGAGAAAAAAAAGTATCATTTCTGTGCATTCCTGCCAAGAATGCATGGCCTGAAAATGGTCATAAGGAAACATTAGGCAGAATGTATCAGAGGTCCCCAAGACCACCCCCACATTCAATGATTTGCTAAGAGGACTTAAAGAACTCAGCATATAGTTGTACTCACAGGTATGACTTATTATAGTGAAAGAATACAAACTGAAATCAGCAAAGAGAAAAGGCAAATGGAGCAATGTCTGGAGGAAACCAGGAGCAAGCTTCTTTGAGTCCTTTGCCAGTGGAGTCACACAGGCTGCCCTTAATTCCCCCAGGATTGAGTTGTGATACACATGCTAAATAATGTCTACCAGGGAAACTCATTAGAGACTTAGTGTCCAGGTTTTTACTGGGGAATAGTCAAGGAGGCACCCCCTGCATGACACACACTAAAATCCAGATTCCCAGCCCTGGTCGGTTTGGCTCAGCGGTTAGAGCGTCAGCCTGCGGTCCGGAGAGACCCGGGTTCGGTTCCCGCTAAGGGCATGTACCTCGGTTGCAGTTTGTCTCCGGCCCTGGTCGGTCGTGTGGGTGGCAGCCACTCGATGTGTTCCTTTCACATCGATGTTTCTCTCTCTCTCTCTGTTCCTCTCTCTCCCTCCCACTCTACCTGAACAAAAAATAGAAAAATGTCCTCAGGTGAGGATAAAAAAAAAAAAAAAAAAAAAGATGAGGAATAAAATCCAGATTCCCAGAAGGAAAACACAAGCCATGTCATTTGTACAGTTTAAGCACAGTAAGCCACTCTTAACTGTCAGGTTGGTGGAAACCCTTCAGAAATCTAAGGTCCCAGATGCCATCCAAGGGTCAACCTTTGAGGAAGGCCTTTCAAGAGACTGCAGCCCTGGCCGGTTTGGCTCAGCGGTTGGAGCATCCGCTTGCGGTCCGGAGAGACCTGGGTTCGGTTCCCACTAAGGGCATGTACCTCAGTTGCAGTTTGTCCCCGGCCCTGGTTGGTCGTGCGGGTGGCAGCCACTCGATGTGTCCCTTTCACATCGATGTTTCCCTCTCTCTCTCTTCCTCTCTCTCCCTCCCACTCTGTCTGTACAAAAGATGGAAAAATGTCCTCGGGTGAGGATAAAAAATAAAAAAAAAGAGACTGCAGTCAGGTCTGCTATGCACAAAGGCCAATACAGGGAAGACTGAGGAACTATTCCAGACTGAAGCTACCTAAAGAGTTAAGTCATATAAATGCAATACATATTCACAGACAATATCCTGGACCATAAATGAAAAACTGAAATATTATTGAGACAGCTGATGAAATGTGAATGGTCTTTATGAACTGGAGGGAGTGGTTTGAAAGGTTTATATGCTGGCTGTGTAGAAGAGTATCCTTGCTTTTGGAAAACACAGGGTTGAATATGTAGGGGATAAATAGGTATAAGGTCTACAATCTGCTCAAGAGGTTCAGAAAAATTAATGTCAATGACTATACACAGAGAGTGGGTGATGAAGCATTCCATTAAAAGTTAATAATTGCCGAATCTGGGTAAAACAGATATGGGAGTTCTTTGTGCTGTTCTGGCAACTTCTCTGTGCACTTAAAAATTTGAAGTTCCAAAGTCTGAAATAGTTGGAAAATAAGTTAGTTTTAAAAAACTACCATAGGAAATATTCAAAGCACATTATTTTGAACATCTTTGATGATGACAAACTGTCAAAATTTTTTGAAAGGACTAGATTCTAAGAAACATCTAAACTCATTTAGAGTAAATTTGAGAAATTAAGTAGATGAATCTAACTAGGTAATACTTTGTTCAATATGTAAATTTGGTCAATAAATAAATTATGATTATGAAGTTAATAAAACAATCTCTTGGGTAGTTAGTGATCTGACTGACACTATAATTTAAAAGTTACCAAAAATATTCAGAGCAATGAAAGTATTAGCACAATAAGTGATTAGCCATCTAAGGTCACTACTGATAATATTTCTAAGCACTAGTGAGTTTGGACAGCTTGTTTTGTTTTGATATTTATACCTTGTTTATAATTGGGGGAAGAGAAAATACTTTATCAAATGTCAGCACTAAAAAGAAAACCTCTCTCTATAGTTTATAAATATCAATTAATATTTCTTATAAGAAAATAATACAATGTAGCAATTATGAGTACAGGCACAGCCCGGCTGGTGTGGTCCCCGTTAGATTCCTGGTTGGGGCACATGCCAGGTTGCAGGCTCCATCCCTAGTAGGGGACGTGCAGAAGGTGGCCCGATTGATGTTTCCCCTTTCTCTCTAAACAAGTCAATAAAAACATATTTTTTAAAAAAAGACTACAGGAACACTAGAGTTGGAGACCTGGATTTCAATCCCAGTTCCATTTCTGGATCACAGGGCCTTGGACATGTTACTTAACTTTGTTCAGACTCAATTCGTTTTCCTGAAAAATGAAGATAACAACAGTTTTCGTTTACCTATAGGTTTGCTGTATAAAGGCCTTACATTTAGGCGCACTGAATAAATGGTAGCTGGCATTTTATTATCAGCCATATTAGTAATAAAAGCCAACTTCAAAATTTTATTGACCTAAGCAACATTTATTGAGTGGTAACTAGATGGCAGGCACTGACTGTTCTGGCATCAAAAAGAGATTTATAAGAAGAACAAGTTAAATAAAGCATGTACAAATAATATAATTATTATATAACAAAGAAATATAATTGTAAAGACAAAAAAGTTAAATAGAAAGATCAAATCTAGTCTGAAGAAATCAACAGGTTCCTTCATGGAGAAAAGAAGTTCTTGATGTGGGCCCTGAAGATGGGTAAGATTTTTGAAAATGTTAGCAGAAGATAAAAGAGAGATAAAAAAAATATCCAAGAAAAGAAGAGAATGAGCAAGTGTTCAGAGTATGAGTAATGGAAGGAATAGCAAGCAAGGCATTTTCCATAATCTAGTTGGACAGACCAGAGGAGATGTACAAGTTAACAGAGAAAAGGCAGGATAGAGGACAATACAGGAAAGGTCATAATGCTCAGGCTAAGGATATGAACTTGCTCATTGGTAAACCAGTGAGGGAGATTTTAAGTACAGAAATTACACGATCAGAAACTTTCTTCTTATGTAAGAACTATAAAATAGAGTAAAAATGAGAACTGATCATGAGCCATGTCTTACTTTGGGCCAGCTGACATCACTGGACAACTTTCCTCTGTACAGAAATCTGTGATTGTTCCATAAAGCATGTTGATCTGATTGAAAAAATCCACAGCTGCAAAGCAAATATAGGTTATAAGTAAAATATTAAATTTTAATTTTATTCAAACAGAACCTAGATTTATCAGTGTTCTTTCCAAACATACAGATTTCATAGTTTTTTGTTATTTGTTAATAATTTCTAGCTAAATTCTACTATATGTGTTATATAATTTCAATTTTTGAAAATGCATGTGTGTGTAATTTGAGGTGCTTAGCCATGTGTACCTCAGGTCAAGTCTATTAATCATGCTGCTCACATTTTTCTAATTCCTCATTGATTTTTTTCCCTCTACATTCTATCCACTAATAAAAGAGACGTGTTTAAATCTCCCATTATGACTGGATTTGTCTATTCCGTTAGTTCAGTCGGCTGATTTTATTTTATAGATGTTATTAAAGACACACAAATTCAGAATGGCATATATTCTTTGTGAACTGAACTATTTATCATTTTTAAATCTTCCTCTTGATGCTTTGTTTGCCTTGAAGTCTACTTATCTGATATTAACATGACTATATCAGCTTTCTTTAGGTTAGTGTTTAACTTTTTAGTTTCAACCTAATTTTACTCCACCCTGCATTTAAGGACAAATACTACATATAGTGACTTTGAACTCAGCCCCTATTCCTTTTTTATTTACAGTCCTAAAATCCCTTTTCATCCCATTAACTACCCAAGACCAATACTCTGCTTTTTTAATTCAGATTTTCCAGAGCAGAGAAAAAAATGACTTTATTTATTTATTTACTTACTTATTTTTTCCACCCAGGCTATGCCAGCCCCCACCCACATCCCTCACTACTCCACCCCAGGCCGCTTCCCCGGCCACCACACCGGACCCTATGCCGCAATGAAAAATGACTTAAAAGTCATAATTGCTGATGAAAAGTACAGCGGTAATGAGCATTATACTAAATTGAATCATACAAGTTTTCCTCTGCCCTCTTACCTCACAAAGAGCCAAAATTTACTAAATAATGACTCTGCAACTTAATAATTATTAAGTTGTCCTCCACAAGAACAGAGGACTACCAATAGCTTTGAAATTAGACAAGTCTGGATTTCAACTCCTATCCTTGCCAGTTGAGTTACTTAATCTCCATGAACCTCAGTTTCCTACCTTTAAAACTGGGTTTATTGCTCTGGCCAGTTTGGCTCAGCGGTTAGAGCGTCAGCCTGTGGTCCAGAGAGACCCGGGTTCGGTTTCCGCTAAGGGCACGTACCTTGGTTGCAGTTTGTCCCTAGTCCTTGTTGGGTCATGCAGGAGGCAGCCACTCAATGTGTCCCTTTCATGTCGATGTTTCTCTCTTTCTCTCTCTTCCCCTCTCTCCCTCCCACTACCTGAACAAAAAATAGAGAAATGTCCTCAGGTAAGAATTATAAATAAATAAATAAATTAATTAATTAATTAATTAGGGTTTATTATGAAACACTAGAAATATATATATCCGCCATTAAGTGGGCATTTAATAAATATTAGTTTCCTTCCACAAACCAAGATATGGCCTCAGAATTCGATGCCACATAAATAATGTTTTTTTTGTTTGTTTGTTTGTTTTTAATCCTCACACGAGGACATTTTTCCACCTTTTGCTCAGATAGAGTGAGAGGGAGAGAGAGAGAAACATCAATGTGAAAGGGCCACAATGAGTGGTTGCCCCCCGCACGACCAAACCAGGGCTGGGGACAAACTGCAACCAAGGCCAAGGTACTCGCCCTTAGCGGGAACCGAACCCGGGTCTCTCTAGACCACAGGCCGATGCTCTAACAGCTGAGCCAAACCGGCCAGGGCAAAATTCTTTTTTTTTTTTTTTGGTACGTGCCCCTAGCGGAAACCGAACCCGGGACTCTCTGGTCCTCAGGCCGACACTCCAACCACTGAGCCAAACTGGCCAGGGCCGATGCCACATAAATAATGTATGCATAAGCCATCCATCCAGCTTTTTCCAGAACCCTGAACCTTCTTTCTGTCTTTAAGCTATCACTCTTTTCAGCAGCAGAATGTTCAAAACCAGGCTGATTTCTGGCTGTGAGACTAGTTGTCAAATTTGTCAAAATTTCCTATCTTCTACCATTTATCTTCGTTTGGCAAGTAACTGAAGCCAAAAAGCCATTAAGATGCCACTCTTATCAACAAATTCCCTTCACTCTTTTATGTACCCAAAATGTTTATTTAATCATGGTCAGTGAGTGGAAATAGCTAGTCTCCAACCCTGTTTACCTCATCAAGTGTCGTTTGGGAAGATTACCATAAATAAGGAAAATCTTAGACTCCAATACTTCAGCCAAATGTTCTCTTTTCAAGGCAAAATTATCTGTTCTAAAGGAATGTTCTGACACTCCAATTTAAAGTAATTTTTGTCTAGCTATAACTGCAAAATGCTTGTGGAATTTCAGAAGTTCCTCAAGTTCTAGACATCTCAGTAGTATAGACACTCTGTCCTGGCAATTGAGAGAATGCTGACAGAAAATGAGGCTCTGCTTTTATACACCCAAGTAAAACGCTCATGTAGTACAGAAGCTCTAGGCTGCCTTCCCTAGATTTTTAAAATTAATGTGTTCTCAAGTAAAGGGTACAAAAAAGAATGTACATAATCAAATGGAAATTTATTCTGTATACTATCTTTAAAGTGTCACAGAACCATCTTCTAGGTAAGATGGGTCTCATCAATAAAGCAAAAATCACTTTCTTTCTTTAGTAACTAAACTCTGTGGGTCCAGGAAGGTAACCACATTATAATAAATACTGCCTGTATACACAAATGCTGTCTCAGTAACATTTTCAGATATCTCAGTAAAATCCTTTAGGTTCCTAAAAGTTATTAGTGGGTCAGAGCTCAATTCATAAATCCCATGATATATTTCAACTTACAGTAAGATACCATCAAATATTACAAGAAAAATACTGTTGTTTTGTTTTTCTTTAATCAAGCCTAGACATATAGTGTATGTTTCCAATTAAATTTCATTTTATTTTCACTAGATTCACGTAAAATTGCTTCCAATTACTAAATTCTATTAGTTTCTTTACTAATGCTGAAAAACCCTGAATATTAAAAGTACCACTTCTATTCCTCAACTTTATCTGGCTTAATTCCCAAGGATATATTTACTTATAACTTAAATGTTTTTCTTCCTTGGTACTAAGAATACCTCATAAACGTATTTTACTAATTTCATAAACCACTACCGAATTGTCTTTTTTTTTAATCCTCACCTGAGGACATTTTTGCATTTATCTTCAGATAGAGCAGGAGGGAGAGAGGGAGGATGAGAGAGAGAGAAACATCAATGTGAAAGAGACGCATCGACTGGTTGCCACCCACATGAGCCCAACCAGGGCCGGAGACAAACTGCAACCGAGGTACGTGCCCTTAGCAGGAACTTGGGACCCTCTGGTCCGCAGGCTGACACTCTAACTGCTGAGCCAAACTGGCCAGGGCTAAATTGTCTTTTTTTAAAAATAGCACAAGTTAGACAAATAACTGAGTATGCTACTGAAAGAGGTGATTTAGCATAGTGGTTAAAGTGCAGTCTCTAAAATTCTACAGCTCTATAATGGAGCCCAGACTCTGCCACTTAATAGCTGTATGACCTAGGCAAATTACTAATCTTTCTGTCTCAGCTTCCTCATCTGTCTTAAACTGGGATAATAATAGCCCCTACACCATGAGGTTGTAAATATAATAAAATAATCCATGTAGACAGGAAGCAGAGTGCCAGATACATAATCAGTGTTCCATAAATATTAATTGCATTATCATTTTTCCACTACAGATCATACATCTATGCTTTGTAATGTCATTATAACAGGAGACAAGATTTTCACAAAACTCCATATTCAGAAATAAAATAACATAAAGGCTAAAGTGGATTGAGGTATCACTATATTGTGATATTAGGTTGTTAACTAGATCCTAGAATAGAGAGCATGCCAAAACTCACCTATAATGAGGCTACTAACCTAATTTAGAATCCACTGAGAAACAGAAAGGCTACTTACTGTTCACTGCAACCCATTCATTTAGATCTTCTCCCTCGGGGAGCATGACAGCCATCCGGAGATTGCCACTGCCGAGCGTGGCTTCTGCATGCTTTAAGAGCTCATACTGGTGAGAACCCTCTGGTATGTTCTTCTTTGGTTTAAACGTTTTGGAGGAGCGACTACCACTATGAATAAACAAGAAAAAAGGCACTTCAATATTTAAGGCATGACTTTCAACAGAGTCATCTACACTGTATTACTGGAAAAAATAACAGAGGTGATCCTATATGTCCACAAATAAACAGCCCTAAGTTATATTGGCTACATTAAATCCCAGCACTATAGCTCCTGTAACTACTGTGTTTGATACCCAAATTTGCTACAAACCTTCCCTATAGTCCCTACTGCAAATTCCTAGAAGAAAAAGAATTTTTAGTTGTTAACTATCTGGCTCTTCACAATAAACAAAATGATTCAGGATTACATGCTATAAGACAAAAAAATTATTTCTGTGACAATCTTATTTTATTCCTTTTCAACCCTACTCTAAGTCTCTCACATTACACAAATAACTTATTTCCTTTGTATAAAAAGCATAAAGTTACAATTTTATATGAATAAAACACAAAAATCCTAAAGCATGAAAGAAAAGCTACATGTTCTTCTACCCAATGATAGGAAGCATCAGCAATCTTAATCCAGAATTCTAGGTATGCAGGTAAGAAGCTAGACATTAACATGACTGGTTTGCTCAAATTTAATATGTATTTTTTTAAATGGATCAAATGAAACTAGTCTGCTTCTTCACACAGAAAAATTTAGTGTGATAAATTTCATCAACATTTTTTACATATAGACATTTTATATTGCCCTGGTTGGTTTGGTTCAGCGGTTAGAGTGTCAGCCCACAGACCAGAGAGTCCCAGTTCGGTTCCTGCTAAGGGCACGTACCTTGGTTACTGTTTGTTCCCAGCCCCGGTTGGGGTCATGTGGGTGGCAACCAGTTGATGTGTCTCTCTCACATCGATGTTTCTCTCGCTCTTCCTCCCTCTCTCTCTATCTGGAGATAAATGCAAAAAATGTCCTTGGGTGAGGATAAAAAAAAAAAAAAAAAAAGCATTTTATTAATTTACATGTGCTTAATTACAAAAAAAAGAACTCTCTTATGACTAATTTGGTACATGTCTTCAGGCAGGGTATAAATTAAGTACACTCCCTTTAATGTTTTTTTCTTTATGGATTTTAGAGAGAGAGGTAGGAAGAGGGAGAGAGATAGAAACATCGATGAAAGAGAACATTGATCGGCCTCCTCCTGCATGCTCCCCCACTGGGGATTTGGCCCACAACGTGGGCATGTGCCCTGACCAGGAATCAAACCAGCGACCTCCCAGTGCATGGATCAACGCTCAACCACTAAGCTACACCAGCTGGACAAGTACACTCCCTTTTATTAGCCCATAACTCAGATGGATACATCTGCAACTGAAGATATGACAAGCTGCTCTGAAAAGGGCTGGCAGAGTACATGAGAACTACAAGGACATCAGCTGTGCCTGCACTCAGGAGACGCAGAGCCTCATCTGCTCCCCAAACCCTCTATTTACTGAACCACTCTGCCCTGAAGTTTTAGGCTTCCAAATGTTTTCTTGATTGGTGTCCCCCCTAGAAATTGGTTTCCACAAAGCTAAGTACATCTACCTTTTTGCTTGGACATAAAGAAAAAATTAAATCTGAGTTCGATTTTGTGAAGGCCAGCTTTGACACTTATCAGCTATGTTATCTCAGGCAAATTACCCAACTTTCCTTGAGCCTATTTTTTCTTTAGCAGTGAAAGCCTAATAAAACTAACAAAACATTACCACTACATAGAACAACTGTAAAATGAGAATATTTGTGAAGAACGCTTTTAAAACTGTAAAATTATGTACAAATGTTAATATTTTCATTATGCTTCTTTTCCTGAACCAAAATGACTCCTAGTAAAAAGAAATGGTAGTACAATGTCCAAAACTTTCTTTCAAAGTCCATTCCCACCTTCAAAGCCTAAGACTGGATGCAGAAAAATAAAACCTTACTTCGGCAACAAATGCTTTTATACATCAAGTTCAAAATAAAATTTTAAAAAAAAAATGCTTGTTTTGTTTTTTTGTTGCTATACCTATATCAAGATTCAGGTATTCTCAGAATAACTGTGGGGCTACATTGGAAATCAAGAAAAAAAAGGTTCTATTCCTCATGTTGCTATTTTCTTATGTTATGTAGGAAACCAAAGATTGCCATCTGAGCTTCAATTTCTTTGTTTTTGAAAGTCTAGAAAATAACTTTTTACAAAAGGGTATAATTTAGAGATGAGATAATGTTTATAATATGGTTTCGGTCCCTGGAGCACTTTCGACTGACTCCCTTCTCTGTTCCTCATTTCCGCGTACTTTCATACTTACAAAATGCTTTCACGTTCTCCATCTAAGTTTCTTTTTCTGGCCCTTCTGCTTTATTTAGGAAGAATAATCTAACCATTTCAATACTCAATATTTTTTTCATGTTCTTTTTAAAAACTATATTCAGCTTTTTCTCCAACTGCTGCCTGAAACTTCTACCAGTATCCACCTGATCCCTAAAAGTGGTGCTCAATACTGCTCCTTATTCCTAGGTCAAAAGGCCATAACTGACAGAGCCCTCAAATTTCAAAAACACAAATACCAACAAAAGCATGTACACAAAAGTCCTCATCAATGAATGCAAGCTCTTTCAGCAACAATGTATAGCTAAATGCATATAGTTCATAAAGCATTTTAAGATATCTGATGCAAATATTCAAAAACATTTTTAATAGAAAGTATGCTGCCCTTCCACTGACCTATCTCAGAAGAAATCTGTATATTAGAAGAATCTCAGAAGAAATATTTGTGTATCCTTCCAGGGTCTATATCTATACAAGCATAAGAATGTGCCTATTTGTTTTTATACACTTGTTGCATACTAAGTATACTAAATATTGTTTTTATTTACTCTATCCAGGAGATATATTGTTTATATTATGGTAGAAGTAGATATACTGTATTCTTTTTAAATACTTAATAGTATTTCCTTATATAGATATATATTTTACACCCTGGTTGGTTTGGTTCAGCATTTAGAGCGTCAGCCCACAGACCAAAAAGTCGCGGGTTCATTTCCAGTCAAGACCACATACCTTGGTTTTGGTTCGGTCCCCGGCCCTGGTCAAGGTCATGCAAGAGGCAACCAATCAATGTGTCTCTCTCATCTCTCATCTCTCTCTCTCTCTCTCTCTCTCTCTCTCTCTCTCTCTCTCCTCCCTCCCTCCCTCTTTCCCTCTCTCCCACTCTGTCTGAAAATGAATGGAAAAGTATCCTCAGGTGAGGATTTAAAAAAAAAAAGATGCTCAACATCATTTGTCATCAGAGAATTAGAACAATGAGATACCACTACACACCTATTAAAATGGCTACAATCCATAAAACTGATAATATCACATGCTGATGAGGATGCAGAACCATTCATTGCTGAAAGGAATGTAAAATTGTACAGCCATTCTGGAATACAGTTTGGTAGTTTGTTACTAAAAACAATCTTCCCATACAATCCAGCATCCCACTCATAGGTATTTACTTAATTGATTTGAAAACCTGTGTATACAAAAAACTCACCTGTGAATGTTTATATCAATTTAAATTATGCCCTTCAATAAACAAACTATGATACATCCATAAAATGGAATATTATGTTTGAATAATTAAAAGAAATGAGCTAGTTACACACACACACACACACACCATGAAGATGCCTTAAATGAATATTGCTAAGTGAATGACACCAGCCTGTAAAGGCTACACAGTGTATGATTCTAAATACATGACATTCTGGGAAAATTACAGGGACAGTAAAATGATCAGTGCTTGCCAGGGAAGGATTCAGGTGAAAGGGGGGACAGAGAACTAGGTATATTCCCCCCAAAATGGAAAAACCTGTCCACACAAAAACTTATACATGTCCATAGCACCATTATTCATAAATTAAAAAAGTAGAAACAACCCAAAAGTCTGTAAACTGATGTGTGGATAAATAAAATGTCATATAGCCACACAATGGAATATTATTCAGCCATAAAAAGAAATGAAGTACTGATACATGCTATAACATGGATGAATCTTAATAATATTATGCTAAGTGAAAGGAACCCAGATACAAAATATGTAGTATCACATACTATATGATTCCATTTATATGAAATGTCCAGAAAAGGCAAATCCATGGAGACAGAAAGTAGACTAGTGGTTGCCAGGGGCCAGAGATAGAGAAATGAAGAGTGACTACTAATACAAGGTTTCTTTGAGGGGTGATGAAAATATTCTGCAATTAGTCGTGATAGTGGCACAACTTTGTAACTACACTAAAATCTACTAAATTTTACACTTTAAAGGATAAATTTTATGGTATGTGAATTTTTATGCTATAGCTCAATTAAAAAGTATTTAAAAATCTTTACTATTAAAAAAAACTTTTGATAATCTTTACTATTAAAAAAAATAAGTGAGGCGGGGGTATAAAGATATTAACCAAAGAACTTATATACATATATGCATAACATATGGACACAGGCAATATTTCGCAGAAGGTCTGGGGTAGGGAGCAAGAGCGGGGTGGAGGGGATCAATGGGGGAGTAAAGGGTGGGGTAATCTTTTCAACAATAAATTTTTTTTTAATCCTCACCTGAGGACATATTTCCTTTTTTTTGTTCAGATAGAGTAGAAGGGAGAGAGAGGAAGAGAGAGAGAGAGAGAAACATTGACGTGAAAGGGACACAAAGAGTGGCTGCCACCTGCACAACCCAACCAGGGCCAGGGACAAACTGCAACCAAGGTACATGCCATTAGCGGCAACCAAACCCGGGTCTCTAGGGACCACAGGCCAATGCTATAACAGCTGAGCCAAACTGACCAGGGCTCAACAATAAATTTTTAAAAAATAAGTAGCTTCCCAATAAGCTCCTACCATCTCACTAAGTCAGCTTCTTTCATCATCCATTTATTCACTCTTATATTCCTTCATCTAACTAGCAAATTCTGACAACCTTCTATATTCTAAGTAGCCCTGTCCTAAGACCTTGGCAATTCACAGCATGAAACAAGAGATATAAGATCCCTACCCTCATGATAGAGAGAG